GAGAACAACTGGCAAGTATGTTTGGCAGAGGTTGATCTCTTTAAGGTGAGAGATAACTTGTGCTTTCTCATTGGTCTCGATTCTCAAAGCACTACAGAAATGCAACAATATTCTCAACTCTTTACACACAGACAGAGGTGTCCACATACGGATTCACCTCAGACGAAATACAGAATATTGTTAACGTGGAGATACTACCTCTCATTGGCCAGCGCCAATCACAAACTGAGGTCTATTTAGAAAAACTTGATGTAAGTTTTGTTTCCTCAATGCTTTAAATGAAATCTCTCCACTTCTGGACTATCATGTTATATTGTGTACTTTAACATTTTTACAGAAAGCTTTTGAGTGTTTAGCCAAAACTGCGGCTTATGACAGTAAGTGCCTGTTCAAGTTTATGTGTGGGGCAGCTCAGCTGTGGGAAAACCACTGTGCAGGCATGTTGAACAGAGAACAGCAGCTACAACGTTCACTGGAGTCCCTCAGTCAAGTCCACGAACTAGAGAACCAGGCAAGATTTTGTTAACTGTTTTATGCATTTCTCATAAGTAATGCTTGTAATATTCATCTTTTTTGCAGTATTTTGTAACATTTCACACCTTGACATGTTTGAACATGGATATAAGCTGTCAAATGTCTCACACTACAGAGGAAAGAGGCCCAGCTGGATATGATGTTGGATAAACTCAGGCAGGAAAGCTCAGAAGAAGCTCTGAAAGCCTCTTTGAAGAAGACACTAAACTATTTGGAAGAGGTTAAGAATGGGTAACACACATTGAGATTTATTTGAGGTTTTTTTTGTTGTTTGTTCATTAAGCTATCTGAACTTCACTATAAAAAGAAAAAAAAATCAACAAAATAACGAAAACCTGGAAATTTTTAAAAATCCTTTTCCTGTATTGTTCTTAAGGTACATGAACATTTATAAAGAGGAAGTTGGAACTGTGGAGTCCTACCCGTCGTTAGTCTTGCAGGAATTACAAGCATACAGTCATTCTGTCAGCCAATTGTTTAATGTCAAAGAGATTTATGGTCAGGTACATATTCAACCAGAGCAATGCTGTTATCTGTTTGTTTAAAGACAAACATTGTTAAAATAACTTTATTTTTCATTACAGGACTCAAAGGATTTTTGCCAACTTTATCCCTCTCTTAAACTTGGTGAGTTGAAAACTAACATTGAGGAACTGTATTATTCTGTTGCCTCTGAACCACCCATTTATCATGTTTATTTTGGTGTTTACTCAGGTCAGAGCATGACAAATATTAAAAACGAAAGATTAGAAGCAGAATTTGAGGTGAAACACAGAGGCTCACAAAAGCCACATTTCAACAATCAAGGAAGCTCAACATTCAGCTCGTCCAGTGCAATGGTATTGTCACATACAACTTACCCCTTTTATTTTGTGTCTACTTACATATTTCATTTCCTCTTTTTTGTAGGATGACCAAGATTGTAAGGCTTTAGAATTTTCAGTCTCTCAAACCAAAGAGACTCTCACTACTGCAAAAGGAAATGTGTACAACTGCCATGGGTTTCACACTACCCACGATGAGGAACAGGAGACAGACCTTAAGGAAACCGAGCTGGTTTTCTACCCAAAGGCTCTCATTGTTGAATTGCTAAAAGAGTAAGTGTACAGTAGAAATGATAGAATGGAATAATGGTCTGTTTGATCATAGTGATGTCTGTCTTGTGTTCTTCCACTGATTTGTTCAAAAACAATATAGGCTACTTACAATCAACAAAACGAAAGCCAGAAGCTAGAGTGTTTGAATTGAAATTAAATGAAAATTGTGCAATAAAAAAAAATCCATGTTCTCTTTTATATCATTTACTTCTTCTTGCAGTTCTTTCAGTTTACTTTATATTATTGTTTTTTTGTGTGTGTGTGGGTAACAAAGAACGAAATGAATATTGAAAAACCTGTTTTGTTGTTCCATCATAGTGTAAGACAAACATTTTTCAGCCATCTGGAAGAGAGGTTTCATATTACTCTAACCAACACTATCACTGTTGTGGAAGCCAATAAAGAGAAACTGAAAGCTGAGCTGGATCTTCGCCTACAGCTCCACCAACCTCGTGCTGCAAGAATAGAGATGGACATTCACTATGTCAGAGCAGGTTTGTCCCCTCATCACATCCAAAGCCATTTTGGCTTTTACTTATTTGGAGTAGTGTAACAGCCCATGTGAAAAACAAGCATGCTTTAGCATACACATAAAAAAAACTACTAACTACAGGAATTTATATTATTATATATATTTATATAATAATAATATACAGTGGGGCAAATAAGTATTTGATACACTGCTGATTTTTCAAGTTTTCCCACTTACAAAGAATGGAGAGATCTGTAATTTTCATCGTAGGTACACCTCAACTGTGAGAGACAGAATAAAAAAAAAATCCAGAAAATCACATTGTATGATTTTTAAATAATTAATTTCCATTTTATTGCATGAAATAAGTATTTGATCACCTACCAACCAGCAAGAATTCTAGCTCTCACAGACCTGTTAGTTTGTCTTTAAGAAGCCCTCCTATCCTCCACTCATTACCTGTATTAATTGCACCTGTTTGAACTTGTTACCTGTATAAAAGACACCGGTCCACACACTCAATCAATCAGACTCCAACCTCTCCACTATGGGCAAGACCAAAGAGCTGTCTAAGGACACCAAGGACAAAATTGTAGACCTGCACAAGGCTGGGATGGGCTACAGGAAAATAGGCAAACAGCTTGGTGAGAAGGCAACAACTGTTGGCGCAATTATTAGAAAATGGAAGAAATTCAAGATGACTGTCAATCTCCCTCGGACTGGGGCTCCATGCAAGATCTCGCCTCGTGGAGTATCAATGATCCTGAGAAAGGTGAGGAATCAGCCTAGAACTACACTGGTGGACCTGGTCCAGGCCCATTGCCAAAGACCATCTGGATGATCCAGAGGAGGCATGGGAGAAGGTCATGTGGTCAGAGGAGACCAAAATGCCAAAATGGGGTATAAACGCCACTCGACGTGTTTGGAGGAAGAAGAAGAATGAGTATAATCCCAAGAACACCATCCCAACCGTGAAGCATGGGGGTGGAAACATCATGCTTTGGGGGTGCTTTTCTGCAAAGGGGACAGGACGACTGCACCGTATTGAGGGGAGGATGGATGGGGCCATGTATTGCGAGATTTTGGGCAACAACCTCCTTCCCTCAGTAAGAGCATTGAAGATGGGTCATGGCTGGGTCTTCCAGCATGACAATGACCCCAAACACACAGCCAGGGCAACTAAGGAGCGCCTCCGTAAGAAGCATTTCAAGGTCCTGGAGTGGCCTAGCCAGTCTCCAGACCTGAACCCAATAGAAAATCTATGGAGGGAGCTGAAACTCCATGTTGCCCAGCGACAGCCCCAAAACCTGAAAGATCTGGAGAACACCTGTATGGAGGAGTGGGCCAAAATCCCTGCTGCAGTGTGTGCAAACCTGGTCAAGAACTACAGGAAGCGTCTGACCTCTGTAATTGTAAACAAAGGTTTCTGTACCAAATATTAAGTTCTATTTTTCTATTGTATCAAATACTTATTTCATGCAATAAAATGGAAATTAATTATTAAAAAATCATACAATGTTATTTTCTGGATTTTTTTTTTGATTCGGTCTCTCACAGTTGAGGTGTACCTACGATGAAAATTACAGATCTCTCCATTCTTTGTAAGTGGGAAAACTTGAAAAATCGGCAGTGTATCAAAGACTTATTTGCCCCACAGTGTGCTGTTGAATTTACTCATAACCATTTATGGTAAACCAAAATGTAATTTAATTTCTATTGAAACTTGTGTCATGTGTTTAAATATATTTGTTATTACGCATTTGTAATGATGAAGTTGCAATTAAGTACATTCAAAATATATTTTCTTTAAACTGAATATTGAATAACACACTATAGTTCAAATTAAAATCAAGTGTGCTTTAGTATGTTTGTAAACACATAAAAATAAGTATACTTCTCTAAATCATGACAAAATATTAAAATATGATTTAAAACACTTTAAAGTAAAGTAAAACCTTTAAACTGCATTATGACAAAGTGAACGTAAAAAGTGTACATAAGTGTTTTAAGAAAGTGTACTCTCCTTAAGTGGCCTTTCATTTAAATAATATAAGTAATTTTTTTTTTAATATACCTTTACTATTTGAAGTACACTACAAGTGCACATTCAGTACAGTTAAACGTACTTCTTTTTAACAAGAGAGAAGTAAAATGTTGCAATCTGAC